CAGGCATGCACTGTTTCAAGTCAGCCGCCGATCGGTCGGCGCTGCATGAAGTCGAAGGCACCTAATGGCAACATGAGGGCTATTTATAATCAAACAATACAGGCCACATGACAAGAACCAACCAGTGAGAGACAGGACACATGACTAAGACAACCAATGAGAACATGACACATGAACCAAAGAACCAATAGCAGGACAACATGAGGGCAAGGGAATCACATGGCTAGACAGGGAACATGACTAAACTCCAAAATAAAAGACATGAGAGCAATGAACATGAACAAAACCTAAATCCCACGTTACATATCCCTCCCTCCCCCTCCCCTCTCTAAGGGCGGCTCCAGACGCCCAAACAAAACCCAAACCTAACAAGTCCAGGAGGGTGGAGGAGCGAAGGCGGAACGGGGAGGGGGGGTGGTGGATGGATGGATGGAGGGCCAGGCCCGTGAAGGGGAACAGGACTAGGATCATGACATGGACCATGGATAAATGGCAGCCAGTGAAACACTGGGAGACCTGGGCCATGGAGCAGAGGCAAACAGTGAAACTCTGGAGGACCTGGGCTGTGGATCAGAGGCAGACTGTGGAACAGTGGAGTGGGAGACCACCAGGTCAGATCCAGAGGAGCATGGAGCCATAGACTGTGGAACAGTGGAGTAGGAGACCACCAGGTCAGATTCAGAGGAGCATGGAGCCATGGCGGAGCCGATAGAGCAGGAAGGCATGGCGGAGCTGGCAGAGCAGGAAGCCAAGGCGGAGCAGAGGACCACCAGGTCAGCAGAGCATACAGGAGCAAAGATCCCCACAGTGGAACAGATGACCACCACAGCAAAGCAGGTATCCACCAAGGCGGATCAGGTTGGACTGGAACAGAGTGTGAGTTCATGAACGGCCTCCTTGGCCGTAACAGGACAGGCAGAGAGTCCATGGATGGCCTCCATGGTCATGACAGGGCAGAGTGTGAGTTCATGGACGGCCTCCTTGGCCGTAACAGGACAGGCAGAAGGGGGTCGCACACCGGACGAGAAGCGCAGCGCCCCGTCTAGGACAACTCGAGGTATCGCACACCGGACGCGCACATTCTATACGTGCGAGCTCAATTTCGAATCAAGTTCTGAGCTGCAAGATGGGTGAGTTTTAACTTCATTTATTATTATTATAAATATATTATTTTAATTGATAATAGCTGAGTTTTGAACGTTAATCAGTGAAAAGAATCTGTGTTATAAGTCTGTTATTGTTTTGTTGTATCTGTTGTCTAGGCAACTGTTACATAGTAGCAATAGCTATAATAAGCTAGCCAGCCTGAGTGATCTAAATTTCTTATGCTGTAGCTACTAATATTGATTTGTTTGCTTAATAAAAACAAAGATGCTACATATTTTTTGTGTAAGGTATGCTTATTTCTTTGTTAACTTCAATTATAATCATATTCCTGTTGAGGTAGTTTGTCTTAATTCAACATGAGGATTTGTTTACTTAAAGTAACATAATTGTCAGTTTGTGGTCAACATTATTATTTTTAAGGACATGATGAAATGAAGACAATGTCTGTACTGTACGTTATTTTATAATTGTAACGTTACTATGCAATTACATACAGTTGTTGCTAACGTCTGTTACTGAACATTTTACCTCAGGTCATAAATTAGACATTCTTACCTGAAAAACCGATGACATCGGCAATCTTCCTCCATGCTGATGATGTTGTCTTTGAAGAATCTATGGTTTGTTGCATATAATTCTGGGTATTTCCCTACTTCGTTGATTAGTTTTTCGTCGTCCATTACGGTCCGTTAATGTTACTCTATTTAAATTACCTGAAGTGTGTTGTGGCGGTTGTGACCTGGTAAATCCAGTAGGTGGCAGCCGACGACAGTGAATGTAATCACAACAGTATAAAATTGTTACATAAGCCAATACAGTAATATTTTGCGTATGTAAAAATGTCTCAAGAGAAAAATAAAAGATTAAAAGTACTACGTTTATTATACATTTAATTCTATATGTTTACATTTTATTCAAGCTGTAAAACTAATGTATGTAGTATTTTGAAGAAGTGGTATCTTGGTATAATGTATTAACAACGATTTGAGACAAATATGATGTTATTTAATATAAAACTATGCAGATGGCGCGGCAGTAATTTGAACAGCGTCTTGAGTCGTAGCTGGGCGCCGCGGACAGATGCCGAATGGCGCCGGCAGTGTGCGTACTCTCATAGAAAACAATGTGTTTGAATTTTAAAGACGTGGCGCGATGCGCCGCGGCTCTGCGCTTCTCATCCGGTGTGCGACCCCCTAGAGAGTTCATGGACGGCCTCCATGGCCATGACAGGACAGGTAAAGAGTTCAGAAGTGGATGCCGCTGCCTCTGGAGGTTCTGCAGCGGACGCCGCTGCCTCTGGGGCAGACTCGTGGACAGGAGAGGCCTCCAGGGCAGACTCGTGGACAGGAGAGGCCTCCAGGGCAGACTCGTGGACAGGAGAGGCCTTGGGGGCACAGTGTGCAGCCCAAACATTCAGTATAGCTATCGCCATAACAGGAAGTACTGAGGATAGGGGAACAATCTCTGTGACAGCCCATGCTGAGGCCCTGGGGATGCCAGCTGCTCGCACTGACATCAGAGGTGAGTCCATCACACTGGCAATCAGTCCTGGCCCAAGCTCCACATCCACAGGAGTAGCAGACCTGAGCAGGCGCTGGCTTTGCAGACATGACGTGAGCAGGCGCTGGCTTGGCAGGCATGACGTGAGCAGGCGCTGGCTTGGCAGGCATGACGTGAGCAGGCGCTGGCTTGGCAGGCATGACGTGAGCAGGCGCTGGCTTGGCAGGCATGACGTGAGCAGGCGCTGGCTTGGCAAGCATGATGTGAGCAGGCTTTGTAGACTCCGATGTGACGTGAATAATTCCAGACATGACATGTAAATATTCTGGTGTGGAGGATACTGGAGGACAGAAGGGTTCCTCATCAGTGATCCCCACAGTAAATGGTGAACCAGCCAGCAACAAAGCAAAGTCAATCTTTCAAGAGTCCATTGAGGGGTATTGCGTGGCATTAAATGTGATACATCTTTATCCAAACCAAAACGAAAAATGTCTTTCAGGAAGGTATCATGAAAGTCCACCAAATGACACAACTTACAGAAGTCCACCACATAATCCTCAATGGGCCGGTTTCTTTGGCGAAGTCGATCGAGATGATCTGCTGGGTTCATTTTTTGGTCGAGTATTCTGTAACAATTAGTCCACTGAAGGCGAGTTTAAGATGAACCCAAGTGCAGCTTTATTCCAAAGTATTCCAAAATCCAAACAAATGATGAAAGACTTGACTTGGCATGAACAGACTTGACTCACCGACAGAAGATGTTAGAAACACACGTCATTGTTGTCAGGTGGTGAATTTGGCCAATCTGAAACAGCTGTGTCGTCATCAGCGCTCTGAAAAAGCTGCGCCAGCCGAGTCAGCCGGCTGCTCTCGAAATGCTATCGTGGTACTTTGATGCCACACGTGACAGTGACGTGGCATCGGCACCGGTTCAAGTTGGACTAAATTTCTAACAGGCATGCACTGCTTCAAGTCAGCCGCCGATCGGTCTGCGCAGTGCTGCATGAAGTTGAACGCACCTAATGGCAACATGAGGGCTATTTATATAAGGGTCACATGACAAGAATCAACCAATGAGAGACAGGACACATGACTAAGACAACCAATGAGAACATAACACATGAACCAAAGAACCAATAGCATGATAACATGAGGGCAAGGGAATCACATGACTAGACAGGGAACATGACTAAACTCCAAAATAAAAGACATGAGAGCAATGAACATGAAACCCAAACAAAACCCAAAACCCACGTTACAGAGTGGTTATACAGTGTAATGTTTTAGTATTCGGTAACATTGATTCAAATATTCTATGCTTTAAAGCAATAACAGTATATTTATACAATTATATATATATACTGTATATATTGATAGGTGGCAAAATTAATATCAATTAATGATATTAAATATCAATTAATCAGTTTTTCTTTTTATGCACTTACATGTGAGTATACATTACATACAAGTAAATGATATATCTTATTTTAGTTTCCACTGTCATTTATTAAATTGTATTTATTTATTTATTTGAAATTCATTTTCATTTATGTTCACAAAGTGCTCCAGACATACTTGCTATAATAGACTGCTTTATATCACTATTTTATTAGCAAATTCCACAGTTATTTTCAAAAATAATTTTCTGGTTGATTTGTAGTTGGGTCAAAGACGAAAAAGGAATCAAGCATTTTCAAGCATCAAAACAATAAGTGTAATACAGCTTTGAATTGTTGTTGTTGTTGTTGTTGTTGTTTTTCAATACATTAGAAAGTGTTCTTATAAATAAATATCATACATTTTTACCATGATTTACAGAAAACAGCCACTAAAATGTCATTCAGTATAACAATCTTGTCAGGCATATTTACCATAGGAATCAGTTTTTGACATATTAAAAGACTAGTTTTACCCCAAATACTACTTGTAATTTTACATTTTTAAACTTCGGCACTATCCCATTTTGGCCATTTGTCAGCAATACATTTTTACTAATTTAAAACGCAATAAAATTTAGTATATGCTCACTTATTCTTTTATATATTTTAATGCGTTCAGGTCAGAATAATGTTGTTTAAGTTTTTACATAAATATAAGTGTTACACTGAATGACAACGGAACATTATTTCACCCACATTTTGACATTTTATTCTCCCAAAACTTAAGTAGACACTTTACTTGCATTTAGTGTGCTTTCTATGTATATAAAATCACTTTTGTAAAATTATTTTGATGCGGACATTTAAATGTCTTTGACTCAATAAGATTGATGCCATGCATAAGATGATGCAATAAGATTAAACCATATTAAACATATTGAATGTCCATTGTCCACTGTAAATTACTCTGAACCTTTTCTACAAAAAAAAAACAAAACAAGCTGAGAGTTTTTGTTTTCTCAAAATAAAACTATATTGATAAGCATTATGACCAAGAACTACTGTATAATCTTTGTGCTTTAGTTTGCAGCAATGGTCTGGTCAACCCAGGCACGGAGTTTGGTGACACGGGCGTACACACCAGGTGAACTGGTTGAGCAGACGCTGCTTCCCCAGGACACGATACCAACCAGAGTCCAAACTCCATCCTTCTGACAGACCAAAGGACCACCAGAATCACCCTGAAACACACAAAAGTCAGAACTTTACAGTCTTCAAGAACAAACAGAGAGGTAAACTGCGAAATCAATAGAAATTCACCATGCAAGAAGAAGCACCAGAGGCTCCAGCACAGATCATCAGATCGGTAATCTTGGTTCCCCAATAACGCTTGCAGTCGTCATTTGTCAGCAGAGTCAGAGCGGCCTTCTGGAGCAGGGCAGGGGTATCAGGAGCTGAAAACACGGATTGGAAGGTGCATTTGAAAAGGTTTCAACATCAAAACTAATTTATTTTATACTAAAATATCAAATAAATATATTAAATATAATATAAAAATGTAAATGCAAATTCAGAATTCTACCATTGTACCTGGTCAGGCCCCATCCAGAGGTCACACACTTCATGCCTCCAGGGAAGTTGTCGGAGGTTTCAGCAAGACACACGGGAGACACATGAATGTTGAGCTGAGCGGGGGTGGCCAGCTTGATCAGGAGGATGTCATTGTTGATGGTGAAGCTGTTGTAGTTAGGGTGCTTGAAAACCTTTATGAAGAGGATACTCATATTCAATTGTATTCATATTCAATTGTATCATCTTTCTGTTAAAACATTGTCTTAGTGGTTTAGGTATGATACAGAATATACCTTGCCAACAGTCATGGTCTGAATGGGCTCAGCATTGGAAGAAAGATCATGCTCACCCAGGATGACACAGTGAGAGGTCCTGATAAAAAAAAATTGCACAGAATTCTGAAGAGACATGCATATTCTGAAATAAAGGTTTGTAGATAATAATAATAATGAGAGTTTATTCATTAATACTGTGTTACCTGACATCGCAGTGAGCAGCAGTCACAACCCACAACTCATTGATCAGGGAGCCACCGCAGAAGTGGAAGTCAGTGGAGTCTTAAATGAGATGTTAAATTTGTTTATTTATGGATTTTTTTAACGTTTGTTTTATTAAATATCTCTATCATCTATATGTCATTTGTTAATGAAGATGTCTGTACCTGCAGGGCCAGGAATGGGGCACTGCCTCTTCACCATTCACAATCCTGGAGTAACCAGTGATAATGGCAGGAACACCACAGCCTTTAGAATAAAAATAAATCAATAAAAAATATATATATATTTTTTATATATATATCCTCCTGACTATCAGCTATGGAGTTTTGTCCTCTGTAGAGGACAATATGTTTTAGCAATTTCTCTGAGACGTTACATGTCACAGTTTTAAGTCTGGATGTCCTGTACAGAGCACATTCAGGGCTTTTCAGAGATACTAATATTGATATTGTTTGGCGGTTTCACCATGACCACTCCCTCTCCTTGGTCTTTAAAAATGGCTGACATAGTGATCAAGTGTAACACCCTTATGGAAATATGCTAATATTTTGTAATTATCATTTAAATCTGACTAATTTTCAAATTGTCATAAATCAACATCTCAGGAAAATGTTATGGGGTTTCAAATCAGAATATGACCTTCTGTTATGAAACAGGATATCGATTTCATACATGTCCACTGTAGAGGACATCAGAACTTAAAGCATGTTTATTACACATTTTGGGAGACACAACAAATAAATAAATAGGGAAATAAATTATATATTAATATTCAGATCAATTATTAGACATTATTATGAAAATCTTGCCAATTATTACTCCCATTATTACACTTCTTTTTTCATTACATGTTGCCCCAAAAACAAATTAATATGCAAATTAGATTTAGTTTATAGATACATTATATATAATGAGAAAAACTGTTTGTGGCCATTTTACGCACATTTTGCATGAAGAAAAATGGTATATCAAATCATTCTGTTATAACATTCTGTTTTTAAGTCTGGTAAAAAAAAATCCTGAAAGCTAAAAATGTATTGGTGATTTAAAAAAAATCTATTGTTTTTGCCTATGCATGTTCATTCATGTCTTTTTATTTTATATATTAATATATTTATATATATATTTTTTTTTAATTGAGTCCCGATGTCCTCTACCAAGGACGTAGCATAACTTATGAATGAAATATCATTTTTAATTTTTTTTTTGTTTACATTTTTTTTAATGCTATAAACAATGTAATGACATCAAAAAATAAAACATTTTTCCTAAAATGTTTTGCCGGGTCTTAAGACGTTAAAAT